CTGAAATTGAAATAAAGTAGAAAAACTTACTTTTTGGCATACAAATTACTTTTTTTCATGTTAAATTGTCTGTGTTTGACAAAATGTGCTGATTTTTCACATGTGATAGCAGAACTGAATTGGGCATGCACAGGATGAGTCACATCATTTGAAACTTAGCCCTGATTGGAGAAATTGGAAGTGTTACAACTGACCCACGTTACAACTATCCCCGGTCTCCCCTACCTTTAATAGCATAGAAATGTGCATACATTAGTACAATAACTGAATAAATGAAGACAGACTTTTTCCCAGAGGGGAAACTTGGCAAAACATTGTGTTTAATTACTTCCTCAGCTGGTGTAGAGTAGGTTTTTATAAAACACATACCATATATCAGAGTATGTAGATTTATTCATAGTCTGCACTCACATTGCTCTGAGTTGTCTTTGAACCTGTGCGTGTTTCTGCCCTCACAGTTCATGGGGAGATGGTTTGAAATTGCCAAACTGCCAGCCCAGTTTGAGAAAGGCCGCTGCATTGAAACCAATTTCACTTTGACGACGAGCAACTCCATTCGAGTGGTCAGCTCTGAAATACTGTGAGTCCCATTGAATTTATCTGTGCAAACGTGGAGCCAGGAGGTAATGTCTGCATGTCGTGCAGCCGTTTTAGTCTAACATGAAGTTTGTCTGTGTGGAATAAAACAGAAAAGGAGAGATGAAGAAAATCGAAGGGATCGGGGTCGTAGAGGATATAAAGAATCCAGCCAAGCTGGGAATAAGTTATTCCTACGGTGAGCAACATCTGGTGACAACACTGAGAATGACTGGCTGTGTTGTGAGTTGTTAAGAATGAAGTGGAAATGTAATGAGTTAATCAGCCTCTATAAGCCACATATTAGATATACGACTTTCTCTCAGTATGTGTAGCTTCAGGATAAAATACTGTGATACTTTTGTCTCTTCACTCTTACAACTTTTGTCTTGATCACAGTCCTTCCCTACTCCCCTTATTGGATCCTGTCTACTGACTACGTGAATTCGGCCTTGGTGTATTCATGCACTGACATCCTCAGGCTCTTCCACGTCGACTTCGCCTGGATCCTGGGGCGAACACGCACCCTGCCAGAATCCACCATCGAGAAAGCCAAAGAGATCTTTGCAAACAACAACATCGACGTGAGCAGGATGATCCCCAGCAGGCAGATGGGCTGTGAAAAAATGCTGTGAGCAGCGACACGGCAACACAAATTCAACACAGCATAATGTTGCTGTCGACAGAAGGGGGTAAATTATCCGAGTGTTTGTTTGTCTCGATGAATCTACGATTAATAATTTACGGTGATTGTTTCCAGCAGGATAAACTCAACTAGTTTCTCTGTTTTCTCCAGTTTTTACTTTGCACAACACCGACTGTGACAGTACAAGTTGAGAGGAATACTTTCCGTGTTAAGAGAAATGTTGTATTCGCTGCGAGCAGATGATTCTGAGTAATCTGAACACAAACTCAAAACATGAAGGATCTAATTAGTGTCAAAAAAAGTTAGTAAATCTCATTTCATGTGATCTTTACTGTGTTTTTAATGAAATCGTCAGCGTGCTGCACTGAAGCCTTCAATACACACAGAAACTGATTTGAAAGTTGAAAGGTGTCTTGCTTTATCTGTAAAACGACGACAACTAAAGGTTACATATTTAAAATAGTGTCGATGTTTGAAGTTTACCATCTGTTTATGCTTTCTAAGTGTTTTAACATGTTCTGTATAAGCGTGCTGAAAGGCATTTTCAACTAAAAGCAGCAATAAAACCGCTATTATTTAGTAAAACATGAAATTCATTTCAATTCAATAAACCTTCAAAATGTGCAAGTTTTAAAGATTCCTATTGGCAGACATTGGAGGGTTTTTTCAGGCTAAACATGAGAATAAAGGCCTGGGAATTCAAAGTATTTGCATCAAGATGTTCTTAAAAGTTTTAAACCCTGGTGATTCAGGTGACCTTGAAAGGAGTTAAATTATCTTCACAACATAAAGCACCACACTGCCTTACTTGAATGTTTTGTTTGTGCGTTCCACTGAGGTGGATTTTGCACTCTGAAAGGAAAAAGGTATTAGCTCTAACTAAAAAAGTAACACACTTAAAAAAAAATTAAGAGTAATTTGACCTTGGGAAGGTCGCATGAACATGTTCACAAATGTAAAAATCCCCCACCACATCCAGGTGTCCATTAAAAAGACTGAAGACTGTTGTTTTTTGTGTGTTTGTCCTCATTTATCTTGGGTTTTGTGTGTTTCACTGAGGTGAGTTTTGCCCTCTTAAAAGAGATTCTAGCGAACTGAAAGGTAGGTAGAGTTTTTTGAAGTCAATACAAAATATAAAACGATTAATGATGCAATAGAAGGTGACTGATGTCTCGATCTGTAGCTGGTGTTACATATAAT